TATTCCCACTATATACCTGGAGTTTTTTTTTTTTGTTTGTTTTTAAAAACCCTTTTAAGCAAAATTATGAAAAATTTCTAAGTGAATATAGCAATGGTAGGGTAAGAGGACATATGCTGTTGTAGATTAGTAACAAATTAAATGACAGTATGCAAGGGGTCTTGTAGCACTTTTGAGACAGATACAAAAGGATAGAAGTGCATATGCTGTTCTTAACAGGATGAAGAAAGAAAAGGAATTCCTAAATGATCTGTTTTGGGAAGGACCAGCACTTTTAAATCTACACATAGAAACTATAACATAGATTATCAGAGCCAAATAAAGAAGTAGGTAAGTTTGCAGGTGATAGGCTGATGAAAGCCAGAGATGCATTAAAGAACTCCAAAAGGAGCTCCCCAAGCTGAGTGAATGAGAAGCCAGTAAATATGAAGCTATGTCAACTGGGGCAACACCCTTAACTCCCTTTCCAAACCTTAAAAACATATGAACACACATGGACTTTGAACTGGCTAGGACCCATCAAGAAAGGGATCTTGAGGTTGTGATAGATACTTGGATGAAAGTATCAGCATAGTGTAGAACAGCTATAAATAAAATATTAGGAAGGGACTGAAAAATCAAATGAGTAGTATCATAGAGCATCTTTCTAAAAATACATTTTGCAGACAGGACATTATACAGGATTCTGGCCAAGCTATCTCAAAAGAGAAATTCAGAGCAAAGAGAAGAAACCTCCTTTCCTTGCCCTTCAACCGTTTTGGACTACAGCTCCCATTAGCTTCAACCAGCATGACCTGTGACCAAGACTTTTGAAGAGTTGTAGTCGTAAGCATTGAAAGTACACCATGTTGTCCTTCTGCCCTTGCTTCAGAACCATGAAAGGATGAAAGATACAGGAGGGGGAAAAAGATTACCATATTCCAAATTATCCTCATTAGGAAAGTTTAAAGTAATTGGAGGTTTTTAATTAGGAGATGTATGTATGTGTATACACACACACACACACACACACACACACACATATATATATATATATATGCACATACACATATATGCATATATATGGATAGAGTGGGGGATGTTCAAACACTGTGCAATTATGAGTATGGGCAGAAACCCGACAGAAGGACTTTTTTCTTCTTCTGCTATATTAAGACATACAATTGTGTGGTGATGGTATGCATTGATGTGTATCATTTGATTATGTTATCAACATAGTCGACACTGGATCTTCATTACACAACTTTGAAATTTGCTACCACTTCAACTGACATGGCTCCTTCTTGGGGAATGCTGGGAGCTGTAGTAGGGAGGGGTACTTGGAATTCTCTGATATAGAACTCTAATTCAGAGACGTAATCTAGAGCTCTCTGGCAGAGAGAATTTCGAGTATACCAAGGTCCAAGTGCCAGGCTCCCTAGGATAAAACTATGACAATTAAAATGGTATTACGTATATTGCTGTAACTGTATAGATGCATGCCAGGATGTGTTCATTCAAGTTGGAGTAGCCCTCCAGATGCTGTTTAACTACTGTTCCCATCATACCCAGTCATTGCCCATGCTGGATAGACTGGTGAGAACTGGAGGCTCAGCAGCAGCTGGAAAAGGGCCAGCAGGTCTTCTCCCTTGCATTAAGGTGTGCCCAAAAAGAAGCAATTATATTGGGAAGGAAGACTATATCCACAGCAGTGCTTCAGAGCCAAAAGAGTCTTGAGTGCAGATCTTACCAAAGTGAACATGCATAAGACTGCAGCTTCTTTAACAGAAGGATTGTCATTTTCATCACAGTACTTGTAGGCAATTGTCTTGCTTTCCTTCTGTTTCTCTCTCTCTTTGGTCCAAAGCACATTGCAGAAACAATCTAGTTAGACCGCCCTGTCTCAGTGCTAGGGAATCCTGGCAAGTGTAGTTTGTTGTGGCATCAGAGCTCTCTGACAGAGAAGGCTAAATGTCTCACAAAACTACACTTCCCAGTATTCCCTAGCACTGAAGCAGTCTCAAACTGGATTACTTCTGCAGTGTGTTTTGGACCTATGTTTTTAAGACTATGGTTGGTTTGCTAGCAGGCTGAACACTAGTCAGGGTGACTAGGTAGACAGAAATATGAGACAATCAATCCTACCCCATAGTTCAAAGGATTGCATAGAAACCAAGTGTGAGGAGGGTTGCACTTTAGCAGCACTCCCAAAACAGAAAAGCTCTACGTGCAGAAATCCTCAACTCATAGTAGGACTAGCAAATGAAACCTCTCCAGTTCAGAGTGTGGGAGGTCAAGACCTGGGTTCGAGTCCCCTCTCTGGATGACTTTGGGCCAGTCACTAGTTCTACCTGCAACCTTCCTGACAGATTGATTGTGAGGGTCAAACTTTGGCTCTCATTGCCCAGAACCCAGGAGGAAGGAAGGAAGGAAGAGGGAGGGAGGAATGTAGGTATTTATTTTATTGTCAATTTCATTGGACAATATTCATTCTGTGTTGCAGAATAACCCTCCCATCCTCTCTTTGCCAGAAGGATTCAAGTCCTCTCTTTGCCAGAAATCCTTCCAGGATTTCATCCACCACCATCCTGGCCAGCCTAAACTTGGAATGACCGCCATGTTCTTCTCCACCATCCCAGTACTCTCTGCCAGAGAGCTCTAGATTGCTTCCCTGAATCAGAGTTGTGTATCAGAGAATCCCAAGTACCTCTCCCTACTACAGCTCCCAGCATTCCCCAGGAAGAAGCAAAGTCAGCTGAAGTGGTAGCAAATTTCAATAGTTTGCACTATTCCAATTGAGGCTCCGCACCACCAAACAAACTTCCCATCATTCCCCAAGACACCAAAGGTCATTTCTGTGAACCTATGTGTCAGGCAACAGAACCACACACACAACCACACACACACACATGCATTTTCATAGAATCATAGAATCATAGAATCATAGAGTTGGAAGAGACCACAAGGGCCATCCAGTACAACCCCCTGCCATGCAGGAATTCCCAATCAAAGCATCCCTGACAGATGGCCATCCAGCCTCTGCTTAAAGACCTCCAATGAAGGAGACTCCACTACTCTCCGAGGGAGTGTGTTCCACTCCCGAACCGCCCTTACTGTTAGGAAGTTCCTCCTAATGTTGAGGTGGAATCTCTTTTCTTGCAGCTTGCATCCATTGTTTCGGGTCCTAGTCTCTGGAGCAGCAGAAAACAAGCTTGTTCCCTTTCACCCTTGTTGATGTTGTTGTTGTGTGCCTTCAAGTCCTTTCCAACTTACAGAGACCCTAAGGGAACAAACCCTATCATGAGGTTTTCTTGGCCAGAATGGAGCCATGGCATTTAAAGTCATGTCAAACTGTGCAACTGTGAAATGTGGATTATTGTTGTTGTGTATGCCATAAGTCATTTCTGGCTTATGGTGACCCTAAGAGGAAATCTATCATGGGGTTTTCTTGGCAGAATTTGTTCCAATAAACTTTGGCATTGCCTTCCTCCAAGGCTGAGAGAGTGTGATTTGCCCAAGGTCACCCAATGAGTTTCACAGTGGAGCCGGACCTTGAACCGTGATCTCTCGAGTTGTAGTCCAACTCAAACCACTATACCATGCTGGTCTTATTGTTTCCACCCTAGCTCCAACCATTTTAAATCACACCTTTCCTCCAATGTGCTCAAGGTGTACACTAGCAATCCTCCTCCACCACCACATTCTCACAACAATCCTGTAAGGTAGTATGTAGAGAGATCTTGTAGCACCCTTGAGACTGACTGAAAGAAAGAAGTTGGGAGCATGAGATTTGATAGACTTAAGTCTAATGAGCTGCATTTGGGTAGGTCAGATGTAGGTAGATAGGTAGGTAAGGTAGGTAAGGTAAAGGTAAAGGTATTTCCCATTGACAAGGTCATCAAGTCGTATCTGATCAAAGAGAGTGGTGCTCATCTCTGTTACTAAGCCAAAGAGCCAGTGTTGTCAGA